GAATGCATAGGGAGGGCCTTGAATAAGTGTGGGAATGATGCCAGGGGCGACATTGGAATCCTGCCACCACACGCTTACCCATACTGTGGCTTTCGTGTTCTTCCAAGCAAAGCATGCAAACACACTGCGCAAGTGAATGCTTGTTTTTCAGTGGTCAGGTTAAGTGCGTGTTTCATGTCACGCGGAGATACGCGGAGGGGTTATGCCTCTCCACAACAGCAAAGAGTAGCTGGCGATCGGGTACTCGAATCTTGGTCCCATAAACAAAACTTTCAGAAGTCCTGCAGTCGGAGGCGCAGCCAGCTCGAGTGGGCATCAAGCGCGAGAGAGAGAGAGAGAGAGCGGAGTGAAGGATAAGGAGAAGACATAGAGGCTCCTGTTTTTAAGTCTTCCGGGGATCATGATTGCCATTGAGAGCTCATGAGCAGGGCTACTCCCTGCCGGGTGTTTGCGCGAACGTGCAGTGGTGCACCAGGCACGGTGATCTCACACGGCAGGGATTCTATTGGGGTTTATTGGGGTTAACTTGGTCGAGATGTTGGGGCCATCGGTGTTCTCACCTTGTCGGACCGTCGGTTGGGAAAAATGCTTGCTGTATCTCCGGGTGTTGTGTTCGGTAATCTTCCAAGTGCCAGGGCTTGGTAACACCACAAGTAGCTTCTTTCCGTGCAGCGAAACAACACGTCCTGATGCTGTTCAATACGACAATTAAGGGGTGAGTTTAAGATGGCCGCGGTTTCCTGCGAGCGCAGGCATCACTTTCATGTGTGCCTGCTTGGGTGCGCAATCATGCAACTGCGCATGCATAGACACGTTTGCACGGTTTGCAAAAAACAGGGATGCCAGGGATGTGTACGTGCTCCTGGGCAGGATGAACATGGATGAACCAGGTCTTTTCTTTCATTGCCGCTCCTCCGTGCCTCCACAGGTTGGCAACGAGAGAGCAATGGAAAGGCATCAAGGACTTTCTCCGAGACATCGTGGGCGAAACAGTAGCAGTGAACCTATGTGTTTCGGCCCAGCTATATGATTTTCTGTGTCTCCGCCGGGGTTTGCTAGTGCTTCTCTTTTTGCAAGCTCTGGAGCAGGTTCAGTGAATCCAGATTTGCAACCCAAAACTGGACAAAGAAGGCAGCAAGGTAGGATAGGACGCTGGTCGAACTATAGGCATTCGTGGCTTTACACTTCATCTTGCATAGCTGCAGTAATGTTTTTTGCATCCTGCAGGCTGCTGGGGACATGTACCTTGAAAAGCACAGCATCCCAAAGGTCGCAGAGAAAAGGCAACAATAAGTAGCCAGACCACTTGTCCTGCGAAAAGTTGAAGGACCGCTTCGACAAGCAGATCGACGATGTTTTCCTGATGCGGTGCTACTACGTCCAAATCGAATTTGTGCTGGCCCTGCTCCGTACAAGAGCCTTGACAGCAACCAGTGAGACTGGATGCACGGCTATAGGGCTTAAGCATGTTTGGGCTTCTTCAGGGCCGCAAGTTGTGAGTCCTGCCGCGAGCTTGCAAGCATGAACAATTCCGTGTGCGGAGCATGGCGTGACTAGCCGGCGCACGATCATGTCGGCCGCACACTGATTCAGTTGTACGACAGAATCGAGAAGACTCGGGCTCTGAGATGCTCCGAGTTCCTTCCTGCCTTTGGTCAGTTTTAGCTACATGAGCCGGTTTCAGAGGGCCTTCAGACGTTTCGTCGTTCTTCTCGATGCAGAGCTCGGCTGAGACTGCTAGGCTTCGACTGCTCTCATGTGTCATCAGCAACGGGAAGCTTGCTCCTCTCAGCGAGGAAGTCCATACCCGCTCTTCCTCGAGTTCATGAAGCGCACCGGCATGAAGAAGAAGCCCTAGAAGTACCTGCCGTTTCGCTCAACCTGCCACTCTGCTCAAAGCCCCACCCATTCACTCACTCGTAGACGCCCGAAGCACGCATGCCGCGCACCGAACCTATACAAACAAGTCGCAAAGGCTGCTTGCCCAGCACAAGGTTTTCCACAGACACGGGAAGTATTTTCCATGACGAGTCCGCTGTGCCAGCTTCGTATAGCAGGCTGGCATGCTTGGGCTGCTCAGGATACCCATCGTGCAAGCTACTATAGGATACGATGCTCTTATGAACGGCAGTTTGAACTCTCCAACTCCAACCCCTCAGCTTTTGATCCTGCAGCTTAAATGTCCCGAATCCTACTGGCTGTAAATCTGTCGGTGGAGATGGACTCTCTTGGCAGCCGTACAGCGCTGCAGATGTAGCCCGCCCACGAGCCAAAGACGTGTATGCACGTGCATGGGTGGAACGGGCAGGCGTAGACGCCCGCCGAATGTATGCGAGTATGCGATATTCGCAGTAGATCAGTAGATGGTTTTTTGAGGCAGGTGGCCCGAATCAGTTCCTACGACAGCCCCAAAACACAAGCCCAACAGCTCACGGCCGCTTTCCTCAGCCAGAGTACCTTCCAGTGCTGCAAGAGATGGTGCAGCGTTGCTTCATGCGTAGATGCAGCTCTGATGTAAAAGGCGGGTCGGATTGGCTACGGCAACAAGCATGTTCAGTTTGGGTTGCTGTTCATCGTTCATGTCTTCGTTATGGCCTGGCTGATTGATAAGTACCGCCCATGATTGCAGTCCAACTGATCAAGCAATGTAGACGACTGGTGACGTCAGGGCTCCACCCGGCGCCGGTGATCATTGCACTTGTTGACTCTTTCCGTCCGGCATCCTTCTGCACGAACTCGTAGTGTAAGAAGCGATCAAGATGGTACCTTTCGACAATAGGCCTGATAGGTCTGATAGGCAGCAGGATCAGCTACTAGAGTCACTAGGGGACTGTTCCTGCCACGGCCCCCTTTGCTGTGCTGATTACAGCCAGGCCTCCTGACCATGCAGCCGTGGACCACAGCCAGAGGCCTTCCACACGTGGTGCTCGAGCCCAGCTGCAGGGTGCATGTAGGAGACCCAGAATCGGTGCCAAACTTTGCAGCTTGCCAATCGGGCCTCGACCCTACGGCAGGTAACATGAAGGGCCCCGGCTTTCCGACTCCGCTTGAGCCGCGAGGGCCGCATGCAAGTTCGAGAACTGTCAGCCAAAGCGTCGACAACATTCGGTTTCCTCTGTTTCCTGCCATACCCTGCTTCACACCACAGAACCGACAAAGAAGGTGAGGGACAGCCAACCACAAGTCTGGCCTTACTGGAGCCCATAAGCATTTCACATATCCAGTTCCAAGCATCATGACGAAGTCAATCTGCAGAACATAGATGACGGTTGTGAAGTGTGAGGCTGGATGTGAGCAAGCAAGTTGCAACTCGCCATCTCCAGCGACTCCTCCGGTCCCAAAAAATCCCAAATACCAGAATCTCGTGCCAGATACAGGCTCAGGATGGCTCAGGTATATCTTCAGCCTTCCTTTGCCAAGCTGCGCATCCTGTGGATTTTTGAGATCGCTGGAAGGCGGTGCGTTGCACGTCCCGGGCAGCACACTTATGCCGTGACGTCGTTTTGCTGCCTGGTCGAAAAAGGATGCACCCAGGCCATTCTTTCTTCAACATAATGACAATCATTGGCCCCTCGATGATTACCCTGGTTAATAATCTACCCGACCCTGTGACGTCCAGTAAGCTTGTGGCTAAAGCAGGGACTCCCCAGTTTCCGAATCAAAAGTTCCTATGGAGCAAAACTGCAGCTCAAGGCTTGCAAGAGCTCGATGCTTTATGAACTCTTTCTTTGGTAGTCCGGGGTCTGGGAAACGTGGGCCACCGAAGGTCCCTAGAAAGCTGATGCTCGGAGCCATTTTTTCGCTTTGGCTCCACTCCGGTGTCCAGTGGGGCCCCTCGGGTGAGTGAGAGGGGCCTGGGAGCGTCGAAGCCTGAGCATCCAAGATTAGGAGGTGAGGGGAGCCAGAGCATGCAGACCTGAGTGTTCGGATGTTCTGCAGTCGAGAATCCGCGAGATTCGGGTTATAAGCAAAGAAGACGACAGACTTTTCAAGCCCGAATGCTTTCTGCGCATTTCGCGTGGGATCTGAAATTTTGGACAGGTTGCCAGGAACACTTATTGTGAATGGACTTCCTTTCGAGGCTTGCTCAGCGGTTTCAGCTCTTTTTTATTCCTGCCCAGTTGAACACAAAGACTCCAGCTCGGCTCTTCGCAGCATGGTCTGGACCTCAGGCTCAGATGGGGGCCGGTTTGCCCGAAGCACCGCAGCCACGCATAAACATTTCCAGTGCTGTGTGTTAAACAGGCCCCAGTTTCTGCGTGAAAGTGAAGTGAAGAAGCATGAAGGGGGAAATGAACTAATTAATGCATCAATGCAAACATGGATGAACATCTGCATGTAACATCATGTAACTATATAGACATGTGCATCTACGAGGAGCACCCGCTCACCCACCCAAACGCCGAAACCCACGCCCACACGCACCCCACCCATCCAGGTCCATATCCATGCTCACACTACACACAAGCAACAACTGTCGACATTTTTGTATGTGTACTGCAACGTACCGTAATGTAGTGCAGTGTAATGCAACATAGTGCAATGTGATTCAATGTCATGCAACACCATGCAACATCATGCAATGCGAGGTAATGCAAGGGTCGTGTCATTTAGTTGGTGCGCGCTAATGTGCTGCAAGGCGGTATTATGCCACAAAGTGTAATGCAGCGCAGTGTGATGTAATGTACTGCAAGGTCCAACGCACAGACAACGGAAAGCAGCGTAACACTGTTATGCGTGCGTGTGCATGCATGGGTGTATGGATGTATGCCTACATTGATGTGGTTTGCATTTGTCGTGTAAGTTTTGTGTGTTCGGCATGCAGTAGTGGAGGCACGCCCCCAACATTTCCATAGTGTCATCCCCGTAGACACCTGGTCACACTAGCAGCAAAATAGGCTAACTACAAGTACAAGGTTTGGTGGGTTTCGGGGTGGGGGGGGGCAGGGGACTTACAAGACACCTTGCCCCAATCCACTATGTAACCCGTCAGCCAAGCCGGTAGCCAAATATCAAGCCAAAAAATCCCGAAACCATATTCCCGAGATCCCAAGCCCAAATCCCAAGCCAAAAAAGATAGAAATGCCCGAAGTTGTGAA